CGCCGTCATGACTTGTTCATGACGTCGCTCCCCAGGTGCCTCGACCCACTCCCAGGCACCAGCTTCTCCTCCGGATTCGTTCCTTGACGGGCCCCAGGCTCGGTAAGGGCCCCACGAGGCCGAGAACAGCGAGCACACCTATCCCGTCATGATTGTTCAAAGGCCGAAGGGGTCTGGGCTTTTAGCTCGCTGAGGGGCAGCGAACGCGATCTGTGTTTCTGGGGCGACGGAGGAGGAGGAGGTAATGTTCGTAGCGTAAGAGCAAACCTTAGCAGCCCAATCGTTGGTAAGAGTGAATTTGAGGTTTGAATTTGGTGAATGGGTGTCGTAAGGATATTGATGGATTAAGTGCGCCGGCTGAGTGTATTGAGATTTGGCCTTGGAAAATAACGTTGTTCCTCAAGTGGCTTCCAAAACTGGGCCATTTTCCCCCGCCCTCAACGGGCCTCCACCCGCTCCTCCGCGAGGCGCCCCAGGGCGCCCCCCCACCTCCCTTCGGGCTTCCGCTCCTCTCCCCTGCCCGCATCCCCATCGTTGAGCAAGGGAGGGGGGTGGGGGGGGAGGAGGAGGAGGGGGAGAGGGAGGTCAAGGGTAGAGGGCGCTTGGGGAGTTGATCCGCACGGCCGAGAGCCGAGAGGCTCCTGTGGCAGCCCTGCGAGACGAGACAGATGGCCCCGAGGCTCAAGTCGGGCCTGCCCCCTACAGGGGGACTTTCGACGAAACATAAAAAAAACACCCCAAAGATGACAAAAATATGTCAAACATAGTACGGGTATTATGTTTTGAATAGCTTCTTACCTGTTTGGGGTATTTTCTGAAATATCTTCAGTTTTTCGTCAAAAATCCCCCTGTAGGGGGACACGCCCGACATAACCCGAGGCTCTGGGGCCTGCCCGCGGGAGCGAGGAGTGGCACGTCGTGCTCCCGCGGCGCGCTGCCGCCCTCGGCGGGAAGCCCCTCCTCCTCCTCCTCCTCCTCCTCCTCCTCCTCCTCCTCCTCCTCCTCCTCCTCCTCCGCCTCCTCCTCCTCCTCCTCCTCCTCCTCCTCCTCCTCCTCCCTCCCTCCTCGGGGCATTCGCTCTGCAGAGCTGCGCACGTGGGGAGGCCCGGGGCCGAGAGGCCGGTGCCCGGGAACAGGCATCGAGGCCTCTCAACCAGGGGGCCGGTGCCACGAACCAGTCACGACGTCGGGGGTCTTGGATCCGGGCGCCCTGATTATTGGATGCCCTCCACCCCCGCTTGCAGGAAGAAGAAGAAGAAGAAGAATAATAATAATACTAAGAAGAAGAAGAAGAAGAAGAAGAAGAAGAAGTCGGGGGTCTTGGATCCAGGTGCCCTGATCATTGGATGCTCTCCACCCCCGCTTGCAGGAAGAAGAAGAAGAAGAAATCGGGGGTCTTGGATCCAGGTGCCCTGATCATTGGATGCCCTCCGCCCCCGCTTTCAGTAAGAAGAAGAAAAATACGAATAATAATACTAATAATAATAATATTAATAATAATAATAATAATAATAAGAGAAGAGGATGAAGAAGAAGAAGAAGAAGAAGAAGAAGAGCCATACTAAACATAACCGTTCGACGGACCGCGCGGATTTCTTGGGTCTGCGCTGGACCCCCCCCCCTCCCTGGCCGGCGGAGCGCGCCAGGAGGCCCCGGCGCCGACCCAAGGAATCCCTGCGGAAATCCAACAGTTTATGTTTATGCCATGTTTTATGATTCGATCTCGATCCTATAGATGCCCTTCTCCTCCCCCTTCCTTGCCTCCGTCCCCCTCCTGGCCGTCCTCCCCTCCTTCCCTACTCGTCCGCCTCTTGCCCCTCGTCGCTGGAGCCGCGGGCGCGCAAGAGTCCACGCCGCCGAGGGTGGCCCCCCCCCCCCCTCGGCGGCCGACCCGACCCGCCGGCAACGGGCGGGCGCCGAGGGGGAGATGCGGCCTCAGACACCAGGATGAGGATACACTTGGGTGGAGGTATATCGAGAATCTCTGAGATCCTCCTCCCCCTCCCCCACCTCCTCTCCTCCTCCTCCTCCTCCTCCTCCTCCTCCTCCTCCTCCTCCTCCTCCTCCCACTCCTAGCCCTTTCGATCAGGGTCGGCGGCACCGGCCGTCAGGCCTCTCCAATCGAGAGTCTCTGAGATCCGGCGGCTCTGGAGGATGTCTCGGGCGCCGCGGCCTTCCCAGAGCGTTCCTGAACGCTCAGAGAGCGTTCTGGAACGCTCTGGAACGGATTTATCCTCGCCCTAGACCCGTCCGACCCCTGATGATGACTACCAAATGTTTGTTGATCGCGACAGGCAAGGTCGGTCGCTACGAATTTTGCTTCAAATTCGGGTATCGGTCGCGACCGACTTGCTTCAACAGCAGTCGTGACTGATCGGTCAGGGTGGGTCGCAACGCGACCGATCGTGGAATGGGTCGCGATCGGTCACGACCGATTTGGAGTGCCGATCGGTCGCTACCGATCGCGACCGACAAAATCTGATATCCAATGATCTGGGCGTTGCATTTTTTCATGCTGGGCGCTTTCGCCCCGCTTCGGGATCCAGGGCCACCACAGATCGATCGGGCTCGAAATACGCCGCAGAAGATGAGGTCTATGGCTAGGGCTCTGGTCGCGCTTGCTCGCGATGCTGTATTTTGTCAGCTGCGTCGTGGGACAAACACAAGCAAAGGATCCGCGGCCCGAGGTAAAACGGGCACATAATGACGAGAGGAACGTGCCAGCACTTTGTGCCGGGACTGCGCGTACGCACCGTGCTACCACTGCGCGATGGCACCCTCTGTAATTTCGCGAGGAGTTCCAGCACTGTGCGCTTGCAAGTACTGCACACCAGTGCTGTGCGTCAACATTGCATCCACATCGCGCACGAGGACGGCCAGCTTCGTCTCGGGTCACACACTGCGCCTTGCGATATTGCTTTCTGGCACATTGCGTTCGCCTTGTATCTGGGAGATGAGCGCCCTGGGTCTCGGCACTGTGAGCGGCGGAGGGCGGAGGCGGTCTACACCAGCAGACAGGTCAGTAGACCCCCTGAACGGCGATGGCGTCGCTCGGCAAGCCAATCCCCCTTCCATGCTACAAAACACGCACACACAATGGCCGCTGCCAGGGCAGACACCGCTCCTGGATTTTGTCCCACAGCAGTGCTTGCGCGTAAAGGCCACTGACAGTTTGGCCGAGTGGTCTGAGGCGCTGGCTTCAGGCGCCAGTCCGTAAGGGCGTGGGCTCGAACCCCACAGCTGTCACTTGATATGTGGGGATGTCGCCGCGCGCCCGAGGGCGCGCTGCTGGCCACTGGCATGCGTCGCTGGCGCGCGCGGCCTTACCTTCATTCCGAGAACTTGGAAGGGTCCGTCGATGTCTTGTCGCCTCGCGGCCCGTGGCGGCCTCGCTGCCGCCCACTCGGGAGGGTCCGTCGAGATCTCGCCGCGTCGCCCGCCGCCCGTTGCCGCGTCGCTGCCGCCAGATTAAGGGGGTCCGTCGACGTCCCGCCGTGTCGCCGCGTCGTTGCCGCGTCGTTGCCACCTCGCTGACGCCCACCCACGGAGGGGGGGGGATCCGTCGAGGTCTCGCCGCGTCGCCCTCCGCTGCCGCGCTGCCGTCGCGCTGCCGCCCGCCACCCTCGGTGGGAGGGTCCGTCGAGGCTGCATCGCCCAGCTTACACCACACGGCCTGCACCACATAGCTCACACTGCCTAGGCTGCACCGCATCGCTGGCACCTCCACAGTGCAACAGCATACTGCTGGGGGGCCCACGCTGGCCAGCATCGTTTGAAGAATTGCAGCCAGGCCTGCCAAGACGACGTGCACATATAGGGCGACGAGATCTATGCATATCCACTGCTCCTGGCCAGGCCCATCCTGGGCCCAGGAGCTGTATACATGCCTCCCTGGCCAGGCCAGGAGGGCGTATACACCGCTCCTGGGCCCAGGATTGGCCTGGCCAGGAGCAGTGGATATGCATAGATCTCGTCGCCCTAACATACGCGACACACACACACAAACAATCCGCAGACCCCAGCATGCTGGGGGTGAGGGGGCGTGCGAGATGTTTGGCTGTCCGATTCCCCCGTTTCCCTGGGGGGTGCCCCCGAGCTCATCAGCGCACTTTCGAACCATGATATGGCTCAGCGGGGGTAGCCAACATCCAAACGAACATGATGTGTACGACATCGCCGGCTTTCCCGCTTGTGTACGAGAAAGCTGGGGCTTGAGGATGGCCCCAAGAAGGGCAAAGAGATGACCCAGGACGGCCGCACACGCCCTCCCAAAGCCCTACAGGCATCCCGAGAGGGCCCCTGGGAAGCGAACTTCCGTGCCCAGGAGGGGCAGCGCCGATTCAGCAACACATCTGTTTGGTCGGTGCCCACCAGGCGGGTCCCGATGGGGGCCACTGCGCCCCTCCAAGAGAGCCCCAACAGAGCTCCGACGGCCTCCACGCGTGCTCGAAGAGGCCTCCAAGGGGCTCCTGGGTCACCAGACACGCGTGGTCACAACAGATCCACGGTCCGCGGACCCACGCCGAGCGCAATTGCTGCAACCCCTGCCTCGGCATGACAACTTCCGCTGACTCCGCTGACGCGTCCGCTCGTTGAGTGGTCGGCGGAATGAAGGAGCCTCCTGAGTAGCCCACGCAGGGATCGCGTCACTTGCCGGGCTTCCTGCCTGCTGTGTTCAGAGGCCAGGCTGCAGCGCGCGTGTGAATCATAACATGGGGGCTACGACTGCATATAAGAAACGAAACTGGTAGAATCCAATTGCAAACGATGGCTCATGCAAAACAACCGTGTGTGAACAACACGAAGCAATAATGACAACATCGCGGGTTCCATGCTGCCGCGCATGATGGTATGTCCATGATGGTGGGGGGTCAGGCTAATACATCTGACCGTATGCGTGAGCATTCCCATTCAAACTTACCCGAGTAACTAGATGATATGGACGGGCCAGATGACTGCTATAGAGGGCGTCGGCAACATTGATGGCACCCCCCACGCGCCTTCTGCTGAACAGCACCCACTCCTGCCTTCTTCTGACTCTTTGTGGTACCCGAAGTGCTGGAGCTACTTCTGCGCGACTTCTTTCGGAACTCTACACCCTAGAGGCATCCCGGGGGGGAGCAGGAAGGGGAAGGACTGAGGGGGGACGAGCTCAAAAGAGGAGAGGAAGGACGGGAAGGAGGAGGAGGAGCAGGAGAAGCAGCTAGGCACTCTGGGCGCGTCTTGGTATGGCTGGCCAGTTCTAGTCCATGCTGCCTCGGTATCTCCTCCTCCTCCTCCTCCTCCTCCTCCTCCTCCTCCTCCTCCTCCTCTCGTTACTATGATTAATGTTAGTCGTTTCTTCTTATCCTTAGTCGTCATCGTCATCATCAACCCGCACCCTCGCTTCCTTCTGCTGGGCAACAGAATGACGTGAGCCGCTACTATCGTTAGCTCCTCAGATCTCGATCCTCCACTCCCTCCGCCTGCTGAGAGCAATCAAATGGTCAACGTTAGTTTTATACATGTGATGCCCTCGAGCTTTGTGATGTTAGAATTTTTAGTTGGAGGTGTCCCAATGAGCATGTTTAGGTTCCAACGGGCCTCACCTATAATCCTCCACCGTGCCGCGAGGCACTGAGTGAGGAAGTGCCCTCAGGTCCCTCAGAGTCCTTCGTCCCCAATCCTGGAGGTTCTTTGAAAGGCCCAGATCGCTCCAAGACGCCCAACATGGCTTCAAGGCGGCCCCAAAGGCCCCCGATACGCCCCGAGAGAAACCAAAGAGGCTCCCCAAGCCATAACAACCTACATCGTCTTCAAAGGAAGCTCTCACTTTGAGCAGAGTCACCTTCTGGGCGCTCGCAGCATCTCGATGTTGCATCGGTCGCGACCGACTCGCTTCAACATCGGCCGCGACCGATTCAGAGTGCAGATCGGTCGCTACCGATCTGCGACCGAAACAATAATGGAGGATGACGATTACTAAATGACTGGGGGTCGTGTTCACGCGGCGGCGCCCAGGTTGACGATTAGAAAAAACCGGCCGCGGGCTGGAAAACTATGTTTTTTTTTATAAAAAAAAATCGTTCTCCTCCAGTCAGAAACTTGTGCAGAAATAGCAGAAAACTATTGTTTTAATCGTTCTCCTATTTTTGTATTAATCGTCATCCCGCATTAAGGATCTGGCTGTTGCAATGTCTTCACACTTGGCGCGTTCGACCGGCTTCGGGCCCCGGGGCCACCGCAGCTCGATCCGTCGCGGAAGGTGCCGCGGGAACATGCGGCCGGGGGCGAGGCCTGTGATTTTTTTCGCGATGCAGCAATGTTGTCGATCTTGTTGTCAATGTTGTCGCGAATGTGATTTTGGTGTCAATGTTTTCAAAAATCTTGATGTGATTTTTCACGATGTAGCAATGTTGTCACAAATTCGGATCTCAGGGTGCCCGGGGGGAGCCAGCTGGGGCAAGAGAGGACGAGGGGGGAGGGGGAGAAGCGAGGAGCGCGGCCGAGGAGGGCGAGGCCGCAGAGAAGAAGGCGACGAGGAGCTCGCCATCCGATGGCTCACTCTGCGGCCGAGCCCTGAGGTGCAGTGCGCTGGCCAGGGTCACTCGGGGGATACCAGAGTCCAGCAAGCCGAACGATGCTGGAACCGAAACCTGAGAAAGGTCACCTGGCGGGGCTCGCCTCTGCCTGCTGGTCAAGGGCCTCCTCGGCCTCCAGCTGGGGACATGTGAGTCACCCGATCTCGGGCAGGGAGACGAGGAGGACGAGAAGGAGGACGAGGAAACGTAAACGCAGACCGAGGACGACGAAACTCATGAGTAAGGGGGCGAAGGGAGCGAGAAGGAGGGAGACGACAAATACGGCGATGAGAAGCAAGAAGAAAGCGAGGAGGAGGAGGAGACGGAGACGGGTACGATACAGACATGGTGGCGAATCTGGTCCGAAAGGACCGCGAGCATCATCACCACCTCCATCAGCACCATCACCATCACAGTCACCATCACCATCAGAATCATCGTCCTCATCATCAGCATCAGCAGCACCATCAGAACCAGCTGGTTATTATTTTTCTTCTTCATCATCGCCATCACCATCATCATCATCACCATCATCCGCATCATCATCATCATCATCATCATCATCATCATCATCATCGTCATCATCATCATCATCATCAGCAACATCATCATCATCATCATCATCATCATCATCATCATCATCATCATCATCATCATCATCATCATCATCATCAACGACATCATCCTCGTCGTCGTAATACCGGTATCGCCATCATCGTCATCATCACCATCATCACTATCGTCATCAGAAGCACCACCATCAACAGCAACACTAACATCAACATCATCACCATCATTATCAAAACCATCCTAATACCCATAGTGCTGCTGCTGCTGCTCCTCCTCCTCCCTCCTCCTCCTCCTCCTCCTCCTCCTCCTCCTCCTCCTCCTCCTCCTCCTCCTCCTCCTCCTCCCCTGGTTGGCTACTGCTGATCATCCTAATCATCCTTCCTGCTGCTCCTCGTCTTCGCCATGCTTCCCATCGTTAGCCTGCTTGTCCTCGTCGTTATCCATCATCCGATTTGTCCTCCTCCTCCTCCTCATCCTCCTCCCCATCATCATCGTCATTACCACTGTGATCACCATCATCATCATCATCACCACCACCACCACCACCACCATCATCATCATCATCATCATCATCATCATCATCATCACCACCACCACCACCACCACCACCACCACCATCATCATCATCATCATCATCATCATCGTCGTCATCATCATCATCTTCATCTTCATCTTCATCTTCATCATCATCAGCAGCATCTTCATCATCATCATCAGCATCATCAGCATCATCAGTAGCATCACCATCATCAGCATGATCAGCATCAGCATGCTCATCTAGCTCCTCCGCCTGTCCATCATCCTCGCAACCACCATCACGCATCCCTCCTCCTTTTTCTTCTCCTCTTCCCCGTCCTCATCCAGCTCCCCGTGCCTCCGGCTTATCGGGAGGGAGCGGGGGGACCCGGGAGGGAGGAGGGATGGCTCGCAGAAGGCTTGAAGGCCTGGACCTTCCATTGCAGACGGGCCGAAGGGCCTCATTCAAGTCAGCCTTCCCTCGAAGGCTTGAACCTTGCCATGGCCAGCACAACACATGCCGGCGTCGCAACGCTCGGATGTGTTGCCACCACGCTTCGGTATTTCACGATACATGCTACTAACGGGTGGACCACGAGCAGTTACGCAGGAGCGGCGCAAAGCTGCAGAATAAGACTTGCAGAGCCCTACTCGTGTGGAGCCCTGTGTGCGAGCGTGCGGAAGCCGATGTGTGTAAGCCGACGTGTTCTGAACTCCCCCCCTTCCCCCTCGCGACCGACCCCTCGAGAGTGTCGCTGTTGATCCTCTAAGGGCGGATCCAGCTTCTCCCTGCTGTGTGAGCTGGCCCGGCCCGAGCGCTCCAGCCTGACTTGACTTACGCCTCGCCGCAGCGCGCATGGCCGCGACGCCAAAAAGTGTGAACTTTGCTGTGTGCGTTTGTGTTTGTTTGTTTGTTTGTTTGTTTGTTTGTTTGTGTGTGTGCGTGTGTGTGTGTGTGTGAGTGTGTGTGTGTGGGACCCTTCTGCTGCCCACTCCACGCGCAGCCAGCATCAATGCGGCTGGCCGCACGTTGGCTGGGGCGGCCGCGGCCGCCGTCGCATCACTCACCCGGTGCCATATCTCCCTGGCGTGTGTAGCAATGGGCGCGGAACCTCACGTGTTCGGAGGTGTGTATGCAGAGCCATGTGCTTGTGTGGAGGCCCAGTGCATGTTGACTACCTACCAGACTACCCCAACCAAACCCGAAGACCCGAATTTCGGGTTGGGGGGGGTACGGGTTCCATATGTGTTTTCTCAAGGTTCCCCGACCCCCCCCCACTGGAAATGGAGGTCAATTTGAGGCCTTCGGGTTGGGTTGGGGTGGTTTGGTGGGTGGTGACATGTGGAGCCTTTCGAGGAGACGTACTCGTAAGATTCGGGTGTGGGGGACCCGGGTTGGCCGGACGGGGCCGGGCGCAGCCGAGAAAATGACGAGACCCAACGTGAAACTTGACGAGAGCCCCCGCTGCAAACATCCCACGACAAGTGGACCGTCAAAATCCAGGACGGGCCAGTTAAAAAAAGTCGGCAAACCAGAGCTTGTACGAACTTGAATCTTACATTTCCCCGAGCATAATGTGACACTGCGTGTTGAGCACCACGTAAGGAGCTCAGTGGCGGCAAAACGGCCCGATACACGCAAGCGCCACCCGGCAACGGCGAGAATCCGAAGGCAGTAACGGCAGAAAGCCGGCAAAACGCCCAACGGCAACGCCTCGAACCCTGTGGCGGCGAGCGCCAGACACCGTCAAACCAGGCCAATCCCCTACTGAAATAAGAAGCTCTACATCTAGTTAAACTTTTTCAGTCGGCGGCGAAGCAGAGAAGCTGCTCCAAAGGGCGGCGACTCGGGGCGACCGATACGCGAATTGGCCCGCGTGGAAGAAGGGGAGAAGTCTACATATAACTCTACATCTGGGCACAACGTTGGAGAATCATTCCAGCCGCCGTTCACACAACAACAGCAATGCTGGCCGACATTCCCATGCTCCCATGCTGTGCATCTCAGCTCCGCGTGGATCTGGATGCGATTATTGGAGCCCACGCGCGTTTCGGATTTCAGTGCGCTTCCTTGCTCGCCTAAGTCCGAAACACCTATTGAAATATTGATTTCCGTGCTTGCCTGCGCGCTTAAGTATTTGCCCTCCCGTGTACTTGCGTGCTTGCCTTATGGCATGTCGTCTTGCGCGCTTTCTCGCATAATTGCTTGTGTGCATGCATGATTGCTCCGGCGAATTTGATTAACTGTTTCCTTTGCATGCTTGCTTGTCGACTGCCTGATTGATGATTGGCTTCGTGCGAGTAGTTTAAATCTCGTTTGAACGCTTACTTGCTTGGCGTGCTTGCCTCCCAGATTGCTCGACTGATTCCGTGCGTGCGTGCTTGCGGGAACCTATGCGTGCAAAAATGCTGAGGTGATTGCGTGATTGCATGTTTCGTGTCATGCTGGCTGGCTTGCTCGGTTGCTGGCATGTCGCCATGAGCGATCTGTCAACCCCTCTATACTGTCAGGCCAGGTAGAGCTGTGCAAGTGCACGCGCGTGTGCGCGTATACGAATGCTTGCGTAATTCATGCTGCGGCTACGTAAGAAAGCTCCCGCACAGTGTCGTGATGCAGCATTGCCTCCGAAGGGTAGATAGAACTACTGACTCCGTTGGTGGGTAGACGCTTGAACTGACGACCTAACAATGTTGATATACGTCTGCATGGACAGACACATACCTACATGATGGCAAGCAAGCAGGCATGCTGGCTCCGTGTATACGTGTGCACGGGCGCATGGACGAATAGACCGGACGGTATACAATTGATGGTGATTGTTTGCCGATGGAGTGGTCACGTGTGCCAGTGTGGCGAATACCACCTGAGGACAAGCAGCATAGGTGCGATGCGACCATGATGTCACAGCAACGGTCAGGTGATCGAGGTGTTCAGCCTCAACGTGAATGCAATACGCGTGCCACCTGTTCAAATGTCAGCCTCTGCGCGAAACAGGCGACAGCAAAAAACGCATGTTCCTAGACATCGGTGCGTCAATCGACGTCGCTCCTGGGTAAAGAGTTTCACAATATTTGGCAGCAAAACAACATCAACAAATCATGCTGTGGGGCCGCACTACTATACCTGGAATCATCCACACGCACCCGGAGAAACATCAAGAAACGATTCGAGCAAACGGCAAGACCCTTCCCATATCCCCCCTTCCAGCCTTCTGCATGGAAAGACGCTTCTCGCTAACCTTTCCAGAACGCTTCCTCAAACTGGTGCTTGTACTGCTCGAGCTGCTTCGTGGTGGCTTTCTTCGTGGTTTGGCATCCTGGCGATGTCCCTCCCTCCAGATAAGTACCTCGTTAGATTGCAAGCAATTTCTCGCACCCCCCCCGTAGGCTTAATCCTCCACCCCGCCATCTTCCACAACGCCGCTCCCCCCAACCCACACGGCCCTGGATTGGCGCTGGACCCCCCTCCTCCTCCTCCTTCTTCCTTTCCTTTCCTTTCCTTTCTTTTCCTTTCCTTTCCTCCTCCTCCTCGAGAAGGACAAAAAAGCGGCACAATAATAATTTCTCGCAGGTGCGCGCGGATTTCTTGGATCTGCTCTTGACCCCTCTCCCTGACGCGCGGAGCGCGCCAGGGGCGACGCCGGAGGCACAGCCAGGGGGCCCAGCGAAGATCCAAGACAGCTGCACGGACCACCGAGAGATGATGCTTATGTTTGGCCGGGGGTGGCGCAACATGTGGAGCAGGCGTGGAGGTTGGCTGAAACGAAACATCGCTCCGAACGTCCCCTGGCAGAAGGAGCTGCGAGCATCCCGCGGGGTTCGCTCCTGGGCCCACCTTGGGATAACCAGCTTCTATCTCTGTGGATGCCACGACAATGGACACCCTGACAGTCCTACCGTTGAATTTTGGATGTGTTCAAAAAGAAGGAACATGCTCTAAACATGTTTTCAACATGCTTAAAACATGTTTAACGCATGTTTTAGACATCTGGAAATTATTTGTCAACATGCTTCCTCTCCACGGATCGTCCTCCACAAACCTACCCCCGACCGAGCTTTCCTGTTGCACGAGTGCGTGCAGCGGCCGACCGCCCTCGCCTCCGCGCGGGGGGAACTGTCGGGCACGCGGCACCTCCGGCGACCCGGGCGCGCTCGACCCGAGGCTGCAGCGGGGAGCTCCCCGCGGCCTCGGATCCGCGGCGCGGGTCCGCGTCCTGGCCGCCGCACGCGCCTCGAGCTGGTCGACAGCGGCCAGAGGCTGCTGGAGGCTCGAGGAGTACAGCCGAGGCGTCGACCTAAGGAACCCTGAATAAGGAACGAGGCCCCCTTTTTCCATGAGTTAAACTTCAACTTCCCATCGAAGATGTCAGGAACACCTGAGGCAAGGTGTGGCACGAGTAAGGAACACCGAGCCCCTCCCCAACGAAAAGGGTTCCTCTTTCAGCGCCCCGACTGTAGCATCTCTCCGCAGGCTCGTGGCGCGGATGAGGACATCCCACTCTGCTGGCAGCCTCGGCGAGTGAGGGGTGGGCCGAACCCGTCGTCGGCGGTGCGCGTCTCAGGCATAGCCCGCCGCAGGGTTTGACACCCTCTGCACACGGCGGCAGCGCTCTTCGGGTGCACGCCTGCATCAATCTGCACGGCCTGCCCGATCACCCACCCGAGCCCACGCCTCGACCCGGTCTGCGATTGGTCGGTGCCCCTGGTCGCGCGGTGCGCTTCGTGGGTATGGGACGGCGAAGTCGCGGCAATCCGCTCATGACGCGGATGGGAAGCAGTGTGGCACATGATGCGAGGCAAGCCGACCTGCGGGCGTGCGCGAAGCCCGATACTCGTCACATGGCTCATCCTCAGACCTGTGTTCGGACGAGGGCTAGGTCGTCTGGCTGTACGTGGCCCCGCCTGAAGACATTCTGCGCCCCCTCAAGAAGGGCATCTGTAGAGGGCAGGCAAAAGGTTACCAGGCGCACACGCGCGTGGCAGGAGGCAACGAGAGGGTCTGAATGCGAGGGGTTTGCGTCGCCCTCAAATCGCCACCTCCCAAGCACAGTCCCGAATTCAGGTGGACACCTGCCCACGAAAGCCCCGAGGAGACCCTGTCAATGGGAATCCCGCTCCGGTGGCGGATCGGCACCATTTGAGCCGACTGTTTCGCGAAGCTCGGGACGTCAAAGCATGCCATGTCGTCGGCGCATGCCGAATTCTTCCCGTCGGAGCTCAAGGGCGCCAAGCCGATACGTACTCAGGTTTGTTTTCTGGGCTGCGTGTCGGGCGATCGAGCTGGACAGATGGCATGATGAGCTTGGTCCTGAAACTAGAACGCCCAAGCATGCTCTTATGTTCCTCTGGTGACTTGGTCGTGATTGTGCCGTATCGGGCGGGTGCCGCTGTCGCAGGTGCCCGTGTGCTGCCAGCCCGAAGGGCACCTCTCGCGCTTCATCAGAGGGCTCGCAGACAAAGCCCGCACAGGTGTGGATACGCTTCGATTCTTTCGTAAGCCCCGTTTTTCCGATGTATATATAGATATATGGAGATAGAGAGAGAGAGAGAGAGAGAGAGAAAAAAAAAAAAGAGAGAGATAGAGAGAAAAAGAGAGAGAGAGAGAGAGAAAGACAGAAAGAGAAACAAAAAAGGCACAACACGAAAAAAATAGGCAGGGAGATAGAGAGAGAGAGAGCTCGCAAGCTCCGCGCCCTTCGACAAGCCACCTACAAGTCAAACAACAGCTGGTACTGCGAATCTAATCGCCTGACCTCGTGCCACACGGACAAAATGAAGAGGAATGAGAACGAGGGTGATGAAGAGGGAGGAGTGGGCAGCGTGGTTGCAAAACACGGCTGTCACGAGCAGAGAAGCAGGAGCAGAACGATCAAACTTTCGCACGCCCGGCCTGGTGCTCAAGAATTTTAGGGCGTCCGCGGCGGGTCCGGGGGTGCCCGAGGCAGCTGCTGAGGTCCTGGGGCCCGCCGCCCAGGAACCATCCAGATGCACTGGAAGTGTTGGAAGGCTTCTAAGCCATGCTGTGGGGAACCTCGGGGCGATGGTCTGCTGCACACAGTGCGGGGGGCCACTCGTGCGGGGGAGGAGGGACGGAGTAGGCGGCCCAGTCTGAATATAGAAGGGGAGTCCCGGCGCACCGACTTGACCACGCAGCTCTGAACTCGCTCGGCGCCTGCCCTGTGCCAGCCCGCCAGGACTGACCAGATGAAAAAGAAGACTGACTTGCCCACGCAGCTCTGAACTCGCTGGGCGCCGGCCCTGTGCCAGCCCGTCCACCACCCTGACCTTCTAGAATGCTGAAACACACTCCAGACCTGTAGACCTTTCCGGACCGCCCAAAACCTCGACAAGAAGTTAGGCGTTGAGGCCTTCCTGCAAGGTCAGGGCAGAAGTTGACCAGAAGAGGGAGGCCGACCTGACAGGAAAGGGACCCCAACCCCGCGACGGGGGGCTCCCCTTCTGGGGTGTCAGAAAAGAACCTCTACTGCTACTCCCTGGACCTATCCTGGAATGCGCTCGGAAAACACAAACAAAAACTCAAGACGCACCCAGCAGGGGTGACGACGGCATTCCAAGAGGCCCAACGAAGCAGGAAACGAGGCACTGGCAGCGGTACCGTTACCATTGTCCTCCTCTGACCCTCGTGCTGCGAAGTCTTGGATAGGCCCCTCAATCAAGCCGCGCACGGATCATCATCATCATCATCATCATCATCATCATCATCATCATCATCATCATCATCATCATCATCATCATCATCATCATCATCATCATCATCATCATCATCATCATCATCATCATCATCATCATCATCATCATCATCATCATCATCATCATCATCATCATCATCATCATCATCATCATCATCATCATCATCATCATCATCATCATCATCATCGTCATCGTCATCGTCATCGTCATCGTCATCATCATCATCATCGTCATCATTATCGTCATCACCACCAACATCATCACCAGCATCAGCACCATTATCATCATCATCGCCACCGCACAACCAAGAAACCTGATAGTCACCATCGCCATCACCATCACTACCACCATTGGCGACATCATTGCTCCTCCTCCTCCTCCTGCTCCTGCTCCTGCTCCTCCTCCTCCTGACCTTCAAAATCGCCCACGACAGATCCTCCTCGCTTCTCCTCCTCCTCCTCCTCCTATTCCCACTCGCTCCGTGATCCACGTCCTAGCTCCTCGCTCCTCCTCGTCCTCCGCATCCTCCTTCCCTCAAGAGTCGGCCTCAGGACCTCTCCCCTGGGGGGGGGGGATGGGAGGGGGGTCCGACCAGAATTCCGAAGTGGACCCAGCCGTGGCGGCGACTGGCAGCCCGAAGTTCCCGAAACGTGAAAGAACGCGCGCAGAAGCCAAGATCATGGACCCGCGCCCAAGGGTGGGCCAAACTGGAACTTGTAGTCGTGACAGTAAAGACAATACTAGAAATCCTAGCCGTAGTAGGTGTTGTGGTGGCAACAGCAGCAGCAGCGGTAGTAGAAGGCGCAAACGACTGGCATCATGAGTACCCCTGTAGTTAGTAGTCCTCGTCGTCGTAGTCGTAGTCGTAGTAGTAGTAGTAGTAGTAGTAGTAGTAGTAGTAGTAGTAGTAGTAGTAGTAGTAGTAGTAGTAGTAGTATTATTATTATTAGTAGTAGTAGTAGTAGTAGTAGTAGTAGTAGTAGTTAGTCGCTTGAGTAATATTGATAGTAGCGGTATTAGTATTGTTAGTAATATTATTATTAGTCGTAGTAGCGATAGTAGTAGTAGTAGTAGTAGTAGTAGTGGTAGTAGTAGTAGTAGTAGTAGTAGTAGTAGTAGTAGTAGTAGTAGTAGTAGTAGTAGTAGTAGTCGTAGTAGTAGTAGTAGTAGTAGTAGTAGTAGTAGTTAGTAGTAGTAGTAGTAGTAGTAGTAGTAGTAGTGTAGTAGATAGTCGTAGTAGTCGTCGTCGTCGTCGTAGTAGTAGTAGTAGTAGTAGAGTAGTAAGTAGTAGTAGTAGTAGTAGTAGTAGTAGTAGTAGCAATAGTAGTAGTAGTATAGTAGTAGTAGTAGTAGTAGTATTATTAGTAGTAGTAGTAGTAGTAGTAGTAGTAGTAATAGTAGTAGTAGTAGTAATAGTAGTAGTAGTAGTAGTAGTAGTAGTAGTAGTGGTGGTAATAGTAGTAGTAGTAGTAGTAGTAGTAGTAGTAGTAGTAGTAGTAGTAGTAGTAGTAGTAGTATTAGTAAAGTTTTTACGGGTAGGAATAGTAGCACTCGTGGTAATAGTAATGATACTAGCTAGACATAGGAATAGTACTGGTAGTCGTCG